CAAATGGCTGCAATATAACAAAGAGTGAAAAATTTAAGGGGGTCTGAATACTTTCCGTACCCACTGTATATATATATAGATTATATTTCAATTATATGTATTATTTATATATATATTTTTTTAATTTATATTATATTATTATATATAATATAAATATAATATTTATATGTTATATGTTTAAGTATGCATATGTACCAAGGTTTTTGTATGCAAATGTTATGCATATGTATGAGAGTTATTTAACTTTGTCAATGTATACTTGTTGTTTATATAAACATATTTTTTCCTTTCCTCCATTTCTTTATTACACACACACACACTTCCATTTATATATTATATTTTTTGAATGTTTGAGTATGCATATGTTAAGAGAGTTCAGGCGATCGTGAACTGATTGTTTCAGTGCGGATCCAAGCGTGACTGCTGTGTACATCTACGCCTAAAAGAACCAAACTAAGGGAGATAAAGTATCAGGTTATGAAAACGCACTAAAAAAACGTGCGTTAACAGATAACAGAAAGGGGTAAGAAAGGACAGAGAGAGAGATTTCACACACCTTTCTGCTGTTGTCCTGCACGTTCTGCACATTGGCCGCTCTCTCCAAACTGCTGATCAGACTCTGCTCTGATAGGTCGCCTTCCGGCAGGAAGTACTGATACAGCTCATACACCAATCGCCAACGAGTGCTGGAGCCCATGTCCACGTCACACGCCGGCGGACTCTCCCCTCTGAAAAATAGCATCTGATTTAGACTGATCTAGACGGATTTAGATTTGATCTTCCAGGCCTGGAAAACAACATTTTGAAGGGTCATTAAACACTAAACTACATTAGAGAGATTTGAGATTTAAACAGAGGTGTTTGTGATGCACATCACAGAAGACAATATTAATATTTATTTCAATTGTAAGGGAAATCTGGTTCATTTTTGCGCTATTTTTGTCTTCTGGGTTTAAAGTCTTCATTAGGATGTGATGTTTTAAAAGCAACAGCGCGTTCATATATAAACATATATTTGAATGCAAGCGGCTGTGCATTAAATTATAGCTGTCACAGAATATGTGTGTATTTCTGTAATTTACTATGAGCTTAAAAAAAACCATGTATAATATATTTGTTCATTTTGTTGTATGTAATGTTGAATTGCAGCATGCATTTGCAGCATGCATTTTAAAAGTCCAAGACTTCATTAAATTCCTCTCACCTTCCATATCCGATGTTAGCGGGCGCAAAGGTAATCGTGGTCTCAAACAGGTTGTATTGCAGGTAGATGTTTGGATCAATCTCCAGCGGGAATTCCTGATTGCAGGCTCCAGGAACGGGATCTGCACAGACATTTCACATACACACTGAATGTAAAGTATTCCAGTGTACAGTCTGTTAATGAGAGCGTTTGTGTTGTGGCATGCAAGTAAAGAGTTAGTTCTCTAACCAGTGCTGGTGTACGGCAAAATCACACCAACTCCTGCTGCGCTGCTCCCGTCGGGCGTCTTCAGGAACCACGAGACAGTGGTCTGGCTCAGTGTCAAGGTGGATAACAGACCAGCATCTGCTGCCGTGACCGAAAAACCATAAAGTGGGATCTGACCAATACACAAAAAAAACAGCCTATGAATGGACAGCTACACAGTCACTCAGTCCCTCTAGATGGATAAAGATCAGGCGGTGAATAATATGCAACAAATACAAGCAAAGTGCAACCATTCAAGTCCTGTCCTACATTCACTTGGTTTTACTTGGAATTACACCAGACTAGACTGCAACAGTTAGTAAAAATCCCATTCATTTTCTCCACAGGTGTATTGATATTTAACAATAACTTATAAACCATTAAAGACGGGCCTACTGTGAGTTCTGAGGTTGATAATCAGTGGTGATTATTTCAACAGCAGAATTCCAGATGAAAACCTACATTACGGAGAAATCTCCACCAATCTGAGACTCAAATGCAAAACATATTTAAATCATCTTTAAATCAATAGTATTGTTTTTTATTTGATTATGTCATTCACATTGCTTCACAGGATTGCAGTTTGTTCCCTCATTACGGCCGTTATATACACTATATCTTGTATTTTTGTCTTTGTCAAAGTTAGTAATGTTGTAATTCACCTGGCTACTTTGGCTCATGGCTTGTAACTCTTTAAAGACTTGTAGATTGAAGCTTGTAATCCCTTTAGATACTTTTTAAATCAGTGTTTAGTATTATTTATAACCAAGGTAGTGGATATTCTTCCTGGGGTCCAACAAGTTATAAAGAAAAAAAAAAAAAGGTTTGATTTATTTTTAATTCAGTTTTAGTTTATTTATTTCCAGTTAGTTATTTTAGTACTTGTACTTAAAACAAACAACTTAACTAAAACAAGTATTTATTTATTTATTTCAATTAACAACATTTTTAACCGTTTCTTCTGCAGTGTTATTTAACAATAACTCAGTTTTAAATATCCGTGTGAAAAATGAATAGGAAAAATAGTACCGGAACCAAGGCCACTGAAAAAGTGGGCGGCACTAATGCACTCTGTACAGAAGCAAGATTGGTTTCGAACAGCATTTCATATTGACTTTAACTCTGTGTCTGAACTGGGGTTTGTGCTCAGTGCACTACAGCTGCATGACTGTTGATGTTATGAAAAGAATGCATGAAGGGGTGTGTGTGTGTGTGTGTAGATCAGAGCTTGTGATTAAACTCTCACATGATGTCTTGCTCGATCAACCCATTTCTCATGTATGACAGTGCATAACAGTGCTGTGTGTGTGTGTGAGAGAGAGAGAGAGTGTATGCCTGTGAAACAGCACTGCTGTGTGTGTGGGATCTCTTACCGGTGTATATGAGAGTGTAACATTGCGGTGATGCGTATGAAACTGCAAGGTTAAGAAGGAAACATCAGCGGGAATCCGGGAAACGACGGCTTGAACCGTACCGTTGACTGGGACACTCACATTCTGGAAGGTTCCCAGTGAAAACATCACACGGTCTGCAAAACACATACACGTTATTATAATATAATCTTAATTTATGAGCCCAGGAGCTGTTTTCTCAATTTTGTTTGCAACCGCATATTTTTTCTAACCATAAAAATACACTCAGAGCTCTAGACTCATTCTTCCCACTGGTTGCACTAGTGCGACTAACTTACTCAGTTGGTTGCACGTTTTTTTTTTCTTTTTTCTACTAAATGGGATTAATCTACGGAGCCCCGCACATGGCATGCAGGAAAAAAATAGTAGGCTAAATCGTGTGCACGATTTACTATTTCGTTCCCTCGACTTGCTAAATCGTGCACACGATTTATAAATCAAGAGAACGAATTAGTAAATTGTGCGCACGATTTAGCAAATCGAGGGAACGAATTAGTAAATCGTGCGCACGATTTATTTATTTTTTCTTGCATGTCATGTGCGGGTCTCCGTATTAATCAATGCATGCTGATGAATGGTTTTTCCATTATCATAGTTTATAGTAATATGGTAACAAAAGTGGGATTAACATACAACCCGTTCTTTTTCATCAGTATTATTAGTTTATTAACGAATAAGACGAGGCATGGAATTCCCCACATGCTGTATTATATATATATATATCGACTAATAAATTACAGAAAGTTTAGCAAACACTGTGGAATCAAATAAATAAATTTTGTTTAAGAAAACCTCCATAGCGTAACGTGAGGTTACGCAAAGATAACAGCAACAGCAAAGATTACAAGCTTTTCAAAATTAAAACAAAAAGGAAAGTAAAACTAAATTGGCTGTCGGTGACATTTCCCAAGAAAACAAACATATTCAATTCCTCTGCTCAACTTCGTCTTTTACTTTACTTCTACATTTTGCTTGAAAACCAAATCCTCCGTCCACCATCGTTTCCATTTTTGCCACACGCACTTTTGCGCTCATGCTGACGCGGCGAGTATAAACCAAGGCTATACACATGAAGCAGAGCAGACACTTTGGAGCAGTGCAGACCATGCACTCGCACAAATGCGACCACGTCATTTTGGTCACAGTCTAGAGCCCTGACACCGTGTGATTATTTATGTATATTAATTTCTGACAAATCTATATATCTCTTCTCATTTAAAGGGGTCATATGATGCGATTTCAAGTTTTCCTTTCTCTTTGGAGTGTTACAAGCTGTTCATGAATAGATAAGATCCCTAAAGTTGCAAAGACTAAAATCTCAAAATCAAAGAGATATTCTTTATAAAAGTTAAGATTGGTCCACGCCCTCCTAAAACGCCTCGTTTAAACGCCCCCACATGTCTACGTCACGATGTGGGAAGATTTGCATAACAAATAAAATAAAAATAAAATAATGTGTTTTTTTAACCTTAAACCGCATAAACACATTTCATTACAGCAAATACACAACATAATGTTCTTTCTAGCAACATCATATGACCCCTTTAAACTGAAAGCAGTCAGTGACCGCCTGCAGGAAGAGACACCACTGAACACTTCAAATAAGGAAGTGGCTTTTGACAGTTGTGATTTGGTGTAGAAAGATGTTGCTATGACTTCCTGCCTGACTGTGAAATCTGACCTGATAATCAAGTCATCTGATTTCACAATGACTCACACCTGCTGTGCGTCAAAACTACACTGAAAAACTCTGGATGAGTGCAAACCTGCAACTGCAAGATGCTGCCTTCACATGCAGTTCACGGATGTAGGAAGGCATTTTTGTGTTTCCTTTATTCCATTGTACAGCTAAATTTCTCGAAATATGCTGTGAAACCACGAAATATTTACTTGTTTTTCTCTAAAACTCCTTCTACATTGTTTTGCAAACAGTTTTAACGTCATGCCCCCAGTTAGTTTGTTCAAGTTTTGTGGTTTGCAGAGATCTTGAAGACTGAAATCACTTCACTGCTCTGGAACAATCTCTCTCTCTCTCTCTTTTAGGAATGTGGAAATAGTCTCTAAATTGCATCTCATGGATTGCTGCTCTGTTTCATTGTCATCTGTGCATCGTAAGCAGGAATGAGGAGAATTAAAAGAGGAAAAAACACTGAATGAAAATGCGACACTTACAAAATACCAGGCACAAAATCACAACTGACAGATGCTAAAACAGACTTTTCCTTGACAGCCAAAAGATCATCAAATGCTCCAAACATCAGAAAAAGACAGAAGTGTTTTACTACAGATCTACCGTTTCCTTAACCCTATAAAGCCTATGGTATTATATTTGATATATGTGACCCTGGACCACAAAACCAGTCATAAGGGTAAATTTCTCAAAATTGAGATTTATACATCATATGAAAGCTGAATAAATAAGCTTTCCATTGATGTATGGTTTGTTAGGATAGGACAATATTTGAATCTGAGGGTGCAAAAAAATCAAAATATTGAAAAAAATCATCTTTAAAGTTGTCCAAATGAAGTTCTTAGCAAGGCATATTACTAATCAAAAATTAAGTTTTGATATATTTACGGTAGGAAATTTATAAAATATCTTCATGGAACATGATCTTTACTTAATATCCTAATGATTTTTGGCATAAAAGAAAAATCGATAATTTTGACCCATAAAATGTTTTTTTTGGCTATTGCTACAAATATACCCCAGCGACTTAAGACTGCTTTTGTGCTCCAGGGTCACATATACACTTTTTGGGCCTCTAAATTAACAACAATATACTGAGCCATAAAAGCCTGGTGTATCAAATATGATACAAAAAATAAAACACATATGCAAACATCTTTTATATATTTTGTCTAAAGGTTCAATAAACTGTTCCATTTCTTTTTTTTTTGCATGGTTAAGACCCTCTCTGAGGTTAAGTGAGCAAATCTGTTCAGCCCATGCTCTCACAAATGAGTTTATTCATAAAGAATACAGGCAGAAAATTAGATTAAAAGACCTCAGGGTGAATTTAGTTGGAGGTTTACGTTGAAATAATATGAACTTGACCCTGAAATCACCCTGGTTAGTTATAAAATCATATAAAATCATTATTAAATCAAGATCAATTCAGTATTAATGTGTTGGTAAATCATGCCAGCTGTCTCAGAATTCAAGCAAAAGTAATTTGTTAAACGCATGCGTTCGCATCAGTGTTGATGAAGATGTTTTGTTTACTCACTCTCATCCTGAGCGCGCAAGGAACTGACCCACGACAATACGAGCAAAACCAAGCATTCTCTCTTCAGTGGCATTTTTCCCGGATCAGTCCAGTCCATAAACACGCTCTAGCAGCAGCGATCAGATTCGGGACTCATGCTGAAGCGTCGCGTTGAGCCCCCGGAAGTGTCACTCGCTCCTCGGTTGCGCTACAATGCAACAACTTTTGAGTGGAACGCTCGTTTCGTCTGTAGTGCGCAGGCGCGACTGTATGGTGTCACGTGATGTCGCTTTAAACAGGTTCGGCGGAAACGGAAAAGGTGAAGAGGAGCCAATATGGCGGACAGGCTAACGCAGCTTCAGGATGCTGTTAACTCCGTAAGTACTGATTTAAATGTTCATTTTATGATTTATAAGCTGCAGAAGAGGTCAGGCGTGTGCAAATCGTATGTATTCAGTTGTCTGTTACATGAAGTCACACTGTGTGTGTAAGAAGTCACATTAATGTACTGTAGCGTATGAAGGTGTTAGCATAGCATGCAGTTGTGAATAAATAAACAATTAAAGTTTGTGCATTTATTTGTACAGATGCAGAAAGTAGCTAATACTGTATTTAAGTAAATGTGTTAAATTGGGAATAATGTATTATATTATATACGAAGTAAGTCAAAATGCTGCTTCAAGAAATAAAAATTGCGGTCAACACATTTAAAAACTATATATACATTTTTATTTATTTTTGACATATTTCACAATATTGTGTTATATTATGTACCCTTGTTTTTACATATTTTAAAAAAATATATAATTTGGATTTTTTATTTATTTGTGACATACCACAATATTGTTTTGTACGTGTGAAATTATGTACCCTTGTTTTAACATATTTTAAAAATAAATATATAAAATAATGTAGTTGTTTAATTTTATTTGTGACATATACCACAAAATTGTTTTATAAATGTTATATTATGTACTCTTGTTTTTACATTTAAAAGAAAATGATTAAAAGAAGCTTCCACATTATTGACAATATTAGCACTGAATTCTAATAGTTTTCACCATGTTTATAGAGCAAAGACAAACCCAGTAAACCAAATGCAAAGGTGGTTTGTTATATTGGGTTGCTTGTGTGCACTGTGTTTGATATATTGCTATGATGTGTGTGTTTTAGCTGGCTGATCAGTTCTGTAATGCGATTGGTGTCCTGCAGCAATGCGCACCACCTGCCTCCTTCAGCAACATCCAGACCGCCATCAACAAAGACCAGCCCTCCAACCCCACAGAAGGTGCACAAATCTGTACCAAAAATCAGTTTACAGCACTGCTGTTGTGGTTTAACTGACGTGTTTTCATGTGTTCTTCTAGAATACGCTCAGCTGTTTGCAGCACTGATAGCAAGAACAGCAAAGGATGTCGATGTGCTGATTGACTCTCTGCCCAGTGAAGAATCTACTGCCGCACTGCAGGTACGTTTATACACAAACAGTGCGACTGGCCCCCTGAAATGTGTATATTTATCCACCTTTTCCAAACAAGCCTACTGCATTTTAAAATATGGCCGATTTTGTTAACTGGCACTCAAAAAAATCATTTCAAATTACGCTACAAATGATAGTTAACTAAAACCATAAAAAATGTTGTTACTTGAAATGAAATCATCGTTAACTTTTATTATCGATAATAATAATATCTCAGTGATACTAAAGTAACACTGATACAAATAATCCTTATCAATCCATTTGTAATCAATGTGTATTTAGATTTTATATATTTATATATATATATATATATTTAATACACATTGATTACAA